TAGAACCCGGTTACTATTATCAGGACATGTTTAAGCCAACTAAACTTCAAGAGGGTACTTACCTATAAAACCCCATGCAAGCCTAAACTAAGAACTTGTTTGTTTTGCTTGTATATGCATACTTGTACATAACATCATGGACATCATGAACATCACATACATCTACTTGAATCTATGATAATGTATGTTCTACTTTTGATGGTGATCTCAATCTCCTTCTATTGAAGTTGACCAAGCTAATCAAATTACTTTTCAGTTCCGAAACATAGAATACATTATAAAAAATTTCAACATCATTTTTCAAATGAATATTGATACCCTCTTTCCCCATGACAACAACAATAGAGTTATCACCAAACTTTACAATATCTCTAAATGACTCATCTAATTCAGAGAATAGAAGTTTAATGTCACACATATGGTTAATGCATATGGTTAATGCAGCAAGAGTCTAAGTACCACATATTATTATATTTTTCTTATTTGTTATGGCATGCCATCAATAAGATTGTTTCTTCTTTTTCTTCTATCATTGCAAAATCTAATTTTCTCCCCGACCTCTAAAGGAATTAGGACACTCCGACCTGACATGGTCATATTGATGACAATTGAAGCATACAATGTGAGATTTATCAAATCTTAATTCTTGACCGCATACATGCCTTTGGAATAAAAATTAAATTTGTCTCTGCCTCTTCCTTGACCACTTCCTACACCTTTGGTGGATGCTTTCAAAGTTTTCTCTTCAGTTATAGACCCGTGACTATTAATTCTCTGCTCATGAACTAGCAATGAACTTTGCAGTTCATTAATGGAAAGTTTATCAATGTCATGTGATTCCTTAATCGAGCAAACTATGTAATCAAATTTCGCAGTCATTGATTGGAGAATTTTTTTCAACGATAATAGCATCTTATAATGTCTCCCCAACATATTGTTGCAATTGCCATCATCCTTCATATGAAGAAATCTATATGAAGAAATCTCAAAATCTCTTTGAAGGGCTTGAAGTTGTGCACACTTCACTTTTGATGTCCCTAGATATTTTAGATTCATTGAGTCCCAAAGTTGCTTGCTAGTGTGTTTATGAATAATAGTTTCCAAGACTGTACAATCAATAGCCTAGAACAAGTAATTTTTCACCTTCAAGTCCTTCAATTTTGGTTCATCTCGTTGCTTCTTCTCAGCGACCGTCAACACCGTCCCTTCCAGATAAAATGTGATACAATCTTCAACTAATGGCCAATACTCTTTTGATCTCAAGTTTTCCATCAACATAGCCCAATGGTCGTGGTGACCATCAAAGTGTAGAATTGTTGGTTGAATGAAATTATTATTTTCATACGCCATTTGCTACTGCAAGAAAGCTGCTGCTTCTATCTTTTATCAGGCCCAAGATGGGGTCTGATACCAAATGTTGAAACACTCACAAATCACAGTAACACAGTATTTTGAGGAAAAATTGAATTCATTTTAAACTAAAGGCATGTTTAATGTTTAGCCTTTTAAATAGGAATTAAGATTAAAATCCACTACCACATCCTAAAACGTGGAAATAACTGAAACAAAATACTATACAAACAACTCAAAGTAACTACTCCCTAATAATTAGGATTTATTTAAAACAACAATTACTAATTAAATTTAACAAATTTAAGATCACCATTACAATTATTATCAGTCTAATTTGCTAATTATACAAGATTACTTTTAAATCCATTTTAAAAAATGTTCCCAAATGCAAGGATTCAATGTTGCTTACATGCAAAGGCCTTCTCTCTTCAAGCATTACTGTTAAGATGAGAGGAACCATTCCAGCAGACAAATGCTTCAGTGTGTGAGCACTGACGGTATGAAAAGTTGCTTCACAAATCTATCAGTAGTCTCGTCCAGCATAGCTAGAGGATAAAATCCTGTCAAGATTTAATTTGAAATTGAGACATTTAAAGGAGTATTGAGTAAAAACAGGTAATATATCTTACAAAAAGTACAAACCTGCAGCCCATAGCCAATACGTTGAATGTGTGTACATTGGAGCCAACAAAATGGTCATAAGAGTATGGCAATGCATGATACAGTTTGGACCAGAAGATATGGACGGACATTGCCAAAGAACCTTCAGTAAAAGGTATTGCAATGCATGATACTCAGTCGTTTCATGGTTACTACCGATATCGAATGGAAATCATTGATCCAAGGGGAATACTATATTCAAAGATACTCTTTTTCTCCTTTGACAATGCATTTAATATGTGACAGATTTTCTCTCCAATGTTCGTATTTAGCATCAGTCTGAATGCTCTTATTACACTGCAGCAGCACGTGCTCTGCTGTCTCCGACTCCAAGTTACACCACTGACAATTAGTACCAGTGCGCACCCTTTTGTCGATTAATCTTACACAAGTTGGGAAATACATTGCCTATTGGTAGTTGAGTCCCACATCGAAAGAACGTGAAAGCTATTGAGATAAACAAGAGTATAAAAGAACTTGAATACTGACATTTAAACATACTTACCTGGATGGGGTCAATGGTTGATCATGAAGGACCATGGCCTAGGAGAGTGACCTCCATTGCACTTAGGAGGGGTGCTATCCTAAGGTCTACCCAAGTGGTGGAACCTACATCATAATTTGTTGCAGTGGGGGCCTGCGTTCGCGCGGCCTCCTCTTATTCTAATATCAATGTTTAGGTAGATACTTCCAGACATGGTTTATGAGATTATCAACTGTTACTAGTTAGATTCAACTCTCAGTGTCAGTTAATAATATTCACGTTAAGAAAATATATACTAAAATTCCTCATTGAAGAAATTAGTACACCTTTAAATTTTGATAAGTAAACAGAATGACATGATCTTCTGTTGGAAAGAGTAAGAGATTAGCAAGAAAGTGTTTCAACATTCTAAATATGTAGTTTGATTTTTAAATTGTCTTACTCAGATAACTCACTATGCTGAACAAGTGTGTTTTGATCTCACACTTTATGTTTTGTTTTTCCGATCCTTATTCTATAAACAAGCATGTTTTCTTAAGATAGTGAATATGATAGTTAATATCTGCGAGAGCAAGAATGTTGCCAGTGAAGGCATCATGGCCCTACTCTACTCATTGCAATTGTAATATAAAAACTATAGAAGTTTCCACAACGATTTTACAACAACATTTACTATTGCATCAATTGTATGTATTTGCTTGTATTTTACCGTAGTATTAAGGGTCAGAGCAAAATCAGAATGACGACATCCATAATTTATACCTGTCTAGATGTAGCATTTTTCATATTGACCAATAATTGGAAACCAATCATTCAGAGTGTTACCTACCAGAAAGTATCTTCTGAACAGGTATTTCCACAACTCCAATAAGTTCAGCACCAAGAATATCATTATCTTTTACTAGAAATTCAACTCTTTGAACAGGATGAGCAACAAGAACAACGAAATGTTCATCCCATAAGGGTTTTTGCAATTCGGAATAACTATATGTTGAAAACTGTTTCTTTGTTGTTGTGACTGTCATTTCCTTGTTGAGACTTGTGTGGAACAATTTTACAACCTTAATATAGATATAAAAGAAGAGGGATGTGATAATCGGAATCATTATGGAATAGAATCTAAAATCTATATCTGGACAAAATTGGTTGTGCTTGCAGCTTGCTACATTACAAGCATGTTATTTAGGTAATTTTTCAACGAAGTCTACAAAGACTAGTACCTAGCCATTAATATCAAAACCTCTAAAACTCCTCAACTTGTCCCTTGCATTAAGGATGTTTAACTCACCATTTAATTGTTTACCTCATATTAAGGATTTAGGATCAATAGAGATCATGGATTTATATTGTGATATGTTAGCAAGTCTGTAGTTATGAAAGGAAAGGGAAATTATGTAGTCTCCAAGTTGTTGCATAAGAGTCCCACATCGGTTAGTGAAGAAAGAAACATAGACGATGTCAGATATAAAATGCACAGCTAGCATGGTTTACTACTCATACGTTTCTCAGCCTTTTGGTTAAGATCAATAATAGTATTTGATCTTATCAGTTTAATATCTGATATTTGGGTCAATGGTTCAGCCTATATTAAATTTATTTCTTGAGGTACTATAGCTTGCTATTGTGTCTTTCAAGTGTTGTTTTTGTGTTGCACTATTGCAATTGCCTCGCACACCCCATCAAACCTAGTTCAAATTTTAATCTCTCTATATCTTGATTTACATTACTTTTGCAGAAATCACTACTGTTATAATAAATACTGGTAAATTGGGCAAGAAATTAGTGAACTATCAATACTTCTTTACTTTTCTGATAAATTGGGCAAGAACTTAGTGAACTTGATTTACATTACTTTTGCAGAAATCACTACTGTTATAATAAATACCTGATAAATTGGGCAAGAAATTAGTGAACTATACATAGTATGTTTACTTCTGCAGAATGCAAGGGCAAGAAATTAGTGAACTATTAGTTAAAAAATTTATCTCTTTTTCTGACATTTATCAGGTATTTTACATCTTAAGTGTTACGACTTAAACTGTTGAGGGGGAGAGAGTCCACTACACAGTTTTTTGCTATTTGGTCGCTCAATAGATCTAAATGTGTATTCCAAATAGTCAAACCTAATCATTGGATAAACAAGTTTAACATCACAGCAAGTAAACCTATAAAAGCAGTCCATTGAAACCATATCGCACAGATTCAACTTAAACATAACAAAAATGAGGGCTAGGCATGAAAAAGTAGATCAGATTTCATCAAACTGTAAGTGAAACTATTGATTATGTTTTAAACAGTTCTTCTAAGACATGAAAAAATAATTCAAAAAGAGATGGTTCAAGGGGCTAGGCATTGAAACCATATCGCACAGATTCAACTTAAACATAACAAAAATGAGGGCTAGGCATGAAAAAGTAGATCAGATTTCATCAAACTGTAAGTGAAACTATTGATTATGTTTTAAACAGTTCTTCTAAGACATGAAAAAATAATTCAAAAAGAGATGGTTCAAGGGGCTAGGCTCACCTGGTGTTGTGGTTTGGAGGTGCAGCAGCCTGTGATCCCTCCACTGTCAAGAGTAGGAAGTGTTCGCTGCTCTGTGAAACCAGCCTCACGCTATACCCTCCTGTCTAAGAGACACAAGACCAGTGCCTTCGCACAAGTCCCATGGGTCAACTCGCAACTTGGAGCGGGCAGGCCAGCATGGTGCAACAACCAGACCAACCAGTTAAGCCTTAGCCATGTTCCATCTCCTTGATGCCCCCACATGGGTCACAAGCTGGCGCTACTCAGCTCGGCGAACTAACTAGCGTGTAAGACATTTATAAACACTTGCTTGTGTGATATTCTAGCCAATGTGGGACTTAAATGGATCAAAATTGGTCTAGTATTAAGTTGGAACATGCTTTCTTAAATGTTGTGGTTGATGTTATAATATATATATATATATATATATATATATATATATATATATATATATATATATATATATATATATATATATATATATATATATATATATATATATATATATAGAGAGAGAGAGAGAGAGACCGAATTACTCACACATATATAGAAGGATTAAATCTATTCAGAAAGTTATACGAAACTAAATACACTCAGCAAAATGATCCAAAACCAATGAAGAAATAATTAAATGCATACCTGATTCAGCTTAAGAGTATCAACAAGCAACATTATAACTTGTGAATGTTGCTTCTTCAAGTTCTGGCTTTATTCCCAAAACAGAATCAAATTTCTCCAATGCTTCCTCGTACTTAGCATTCTAGCAGCATTAAATCCAGAAAAGTAATGGACATTAAGATTATCAGTAACATGCCATTAATTATTTAGTCCTAATCTACATTACAATTTCATATAGAAAATGTTTTGTTTCAGACATGTCTATCTTATTTTTATAAGAAAAAATATATTCCTTGTTTTAAGAAGCAAGTGAATAATAAAGGAGAAGATTAACTGAATCCAGCTCATGTCTATATGTTGTACATTGTTCTTCCATATTCGCCATTCGTTTGTTACAGTTGGCTTACTTGCATGGTTTTAAACCAATGTTACAGTTACAGTTATGTTGCAAACTTTTATATGGTAGGAAAATACGGCAAATACGATGTTGCAGATACCTCAATACTTTTATGCTGCCTTTGTAGAATCATTATGGATTTGTATTATTTGCAATTATGAAATCACAAAATTGACAGTCGTGCATTTTGGACTATCTGATCAAGATCTGATGTCTCACATCCGACCTTGTAAGGCCTCGGCATATGGGGGATTTCCTGACTACAGGGGTTCAAATCTGCAAATGCTAATAATAAAATGTCACAAATAATGATTGTGTAAATAAAACATGAGATACTTTTGAGACTACAAACAGTGTATTGAAATTTCTTGTTGAAAGCATTATCAAAACATACCTGGAGCAATATAACCATGTCTCCCAGCAAACCTTGTAACACCGAATTCAGCGCTTTTTGCCTCATAATCTTCATCAAGCAAGATGCAGCTAGATTTTATATCCCTATGAATAACAGGTGGAGAACAATCGTGGTACAAATAGCAAATCCCTATTGCAGCTCCCAATGCAATTTATACCTCTGATTCCAATGCCAATAAACCTTCTCATCTTTTATATTTCTATGAAGAGCTTCAAAAAGATTACTATTTGGCATATACTCAAAAACTAAAAGATTGGTTCGTCCTTTAAAAAAACAAGCATAAAATTTAAGCACAATTCTATGTCTGATTTTCCCAAAAATGTACATTTCTGCAGCTAAAATCCAAGGTCAGGATCAGTTCCGATTCTCTGTTAAACAACAACAACATTAGTCCTGTGGGTCAACGGTCAGGATCAGTTCCGATTCTCTGTTAAACAACAACAACATTAGTCCTGTGGGTCAACTCTCAACCTGTTAAGTCAATAACTACTCAGTCTTAAGTCAAAATGAATCATTTCTCCCTGGAGAGATAATGTTATAACACTAAGAATGTTATAAAAATGAATTACTTGTTTTCAATGACAGCTGTGGGATTTGAACCCACGCCCTTTCGGACCAGAGCCTAAATCTGGCGCCTTAGACCACTCGGCCAAACTGTCTTGATATATGATAATATCACTTGGTCTAATATTTTGATTGAGTCCTTTGAAGGACTGTCAAACTTGAAAGGAATGTTACGAAGCAGACTATATTAGTATCCAACTCGGACGTGTAGTGGTTCAGTCGCTAGCTGACGCACACCAAACTGTAGGTAAAATTAAGGAAAGTATGAGAAAGGATCCAAGAGGGGTATAGATCATGGTGTTTGTAAATCATAGAAATTTAAGCTAAAACATTCATACATTTTTAAGGAGTTCTAAGGCTAGACATGAAAGACCCAATTGAACCCAAAAAAAAATACTCATTTCGTTAATCATGTGTTACAAAGAAACTCCCCCTCAGGCAAAACTGGAGGCAATAGTGATTCAAGACCAAGTAGTATGTGAACCAAATCATTCCATGACAAACAAAGCTATCTTTTACTAAATTAAGATGATAGAGAAAAAAACTTGGTATGGTGTTTGTGAATGCGGCTTCTTCAAGTTTTGGCTTTGTTCCCAAAAGAGAATCAAATTTCTCTAATGTTTCCTCGTATTAAAAAAGTATTTTATAAGATATTATCGATTGCATGTCAAACAAGCATTAAACAACTTATAGACATGTGGTATGTTGTTTCCACAAACCCTTCTAAACAATCTTATCTAAATAGATACGATTAAATAACACAATCCAAACAAACCCTAAACCTTCAATTCACAAGCTGGCGCTACTCAGCTCGGTAAACATGTCTGATATTGTAGCCAATGCGGAATTTAATAGATATAAATTTGCGTAGTATTAAGTTGGCACATGGTTTCTTAAATGGCTTACTTTGTACTGAGCACTCCTGAACTAGTTTTAACATGTTATAGCACTAATCCAAAAATGCTGCAGCGCCGATATTGCAGCCATAGTAGGCATGCAAGGATTCAATCAAGTAGCAGTTGACTAAAATAACATTCCAAGATGCAAAATGAAGATTAACATTTCATAAAAAAAACATGTTGTTTCTAGAGTTACATAATCTCAAACTACAAATTAAAACATACCCTCAAAGATTACAACTAGATAATTTCGCTTCCAATCAAGAGAAAGGAATTGATCAGAGGAAGATACTCAATTTTCACGGATCTGAATTAATAGCAGAAATGGAATGAGAAAACTGTTAGCTATATTGTGTTATAATACTCAGTCAAAATGAACCATTTCCTAATGGAGACATAAAGGAATGGGAATGTTATAGCACTGCTCATAATGTTATACAAGCTAACTAATTAAAATTAGAAAGCAAAGCTGAATCCTACTTTCTGCATTTCAAGTACTAACTAATAAAGGAATTAGGCACTATTTCTTGATCTTTAATCCTTCCCTAATTTATGTGATCATCAAGGGTACCTATCCCCCTTGCTAGTCAGATCCAATCTTTAATTTCTTCGAGTTTTTGAATAATCAATATGGTATATTCATTTGTAAGTACCACAGACTCTGGAGTATTTTCAACTATTGTTTAAATGGCTTACTTTGTACCCGGCACTCCTCAACTACTCTTTTGACATGTTATAACACTAATCATTGAGGGATTTAATTTACATATATAGAGGGATTATCGGACACTTAAAAAATGATCGAAAACCAATGATAGAGCAGTGTAATGCATCACATACAATTTGAAAAGTGGACAAACATATATACCTGGTTTAGCTTAGAGTAAAAACAAGCAACATCAAGAAAATTCTGAGTGGGGGGAGTCTTACTTGTATAGTCGTAAGCCTTCTCTCAAATCACTTTCCGGACGCTCTTTCAATTCTTTTTTCCTTAAGTAGTTTTGCATCTGAAATTTTTACAAAATTGAGGAACTAAAACAGTTATCGCCTCATAATGCACGTCAAAATACAATAGTGACATCTTTCAATAAAAAATAAAATATCTTATATAAAAAAAGGGTTTGAGAATTTAAGAATTACAACTTTGTAGTTTAAATAATGATGAAACTTACTTGAATTTCCCTGACTTTATTACCGACTACATCAGAGTTCGACTTCATTACCGACTACAATAGAGTTCCTGTGAAGAAATGGAAACCAAGGTTGACGGATCCATGGGCTAAGTAGAGAATCAGGGAAGCATTGCGAAAATGCATACAAAATAAAGTAAAATGAAAGAGTGTGACAAGTGTTTATTGAAGTAGATAAGCTTAAATAAAACAATCCAAACAAACCCTATGCTTGAAGTACTACTGATGAGAAAACAACAACGTATATAGTTGTCTGAAAACAAAATGAAGAGCACAAACCTTGTCAGCTGGTCCACAAAAAGAATGGGTTTGATTTATGAGAAAGTATTTGAAAAAAGGGTTTGGCTGTGGAAAATTATTTGGCGGTGGGAACAAAATAAGAGCGACTGAGACCTCTATCACTTTCCTACTTCCTTTACCCGCCAAACTTTTATATTTTTACAATTTTATAATTAATCTAGTGTTCCTACCTTAATTCTTTTGTTTAAATTATGAGAATATTATAGTTGTAAGGATGCATTTTATAAATAATTAATGTTGTGTTTAAAATTTATTCATATTTTCATTATCCTTGTTTTTTTTCTCTCCTCTTCCAACTTGTTTGAATCCTCTCCTCTCAATTCTTTTCTTGTTCTCTCTCAAATTCAAATATCGCTATTTTATGAAATATTGTTTTATATGCTTATAATAAGAACATCAATTTTTGTTGATGACAACTACTATTTTTTAATAAGTTAAGTATAAGTGATTATATGCGGATAAAGATGCAAATTTAATATTAAGATTTGATGGACTTAACGATCCGGTGATGCAAATCAAATGAAATATAACTAAAACATCATCTCAAACTACTCAAACAAATATCTATAAAAAAATAAAGAATCTGATAATGACTTTAAGTGCTTAGGACCAGACTCGACCATGTGCAGGAGCAACAGACTTTACAACATAGAACCTCGTATTTTAGAGGGTCCAAAATTTTGAAAAGTTCAATTTTTTTTACATTAATATTAATAAAAATAAAAATATGTTATAAAAAAATTCAATAAATCAAAAAGTTACAATGATAAAAATCCAATACATTAAAAAAATTAATCAAAGTCAAAATGATTATAATTAAATTTTTTATTAATATATAATTATATTTTTCAAATGTCATTTTTAATTTATTATAATTGTATTTTTTTAAATATAGATCCATTTTTAAAATTCAAACGGGACCTCCAATTTAATTGAACCGACCTTGCTTAGGACTGGGGGTGAGAATATGCCAAACTTACTAACAGGGACCTACGATCTAGCCTACATAAGTTAAAGTCAAGTTAGACTTTTTTTTAAGTAGAAAAGACAAAGACTTTTTTATAAGCTTATTTAGTTAAATAGCTTAGACCACATGCCTTAAAGAAAGTCTTTTAAGACTGACTGTCAAGCCGACTTGTTTTAATAAATATGAATAAATTTATTATTTTTTATAATATTTTTTGTACTTTATGATAAAATACAAAAGTAAAGTTTAGTTATCTTGAGTGAAAAATAAGTTGAAAAAATATTATGAATAATGTCATAATTTATTTTCATAAGTTTTCCTAATCAAATAATCTCATAAATTATACTACTATGTAAACTCAAATTAGTCAATGTGAATAAACATTTTATCTCATTGTACTTTTGATTCTCTGGTATATTTAAACATTAGTTGAATTTCTTATTTACAAATGCTCAAATGATATAAACTTTTTAATCAGGCTAATAGGTTAATTAGGCCTTCGAAAAGGCCAAACTCAAATTGAAAAATAAGCTTATGACAGGTCAAACTTAGACTTTGAAATTTTTAACAAACTAAACTCAAACTTGATAAAGTCTAGCTCAACCTAAGATGTATTCTCACCCCTACTTAGAACTTTCCTAACTTAAGAGTGGGTGAAACAAATGTAATGCATATGGGAATAATTTGTAAATTGTTTGACTTGGAATTCAAGTTTGTGTTGATTGGGGAATGATTGTTCAATATAATGTAAATGGAAAATATTTAATTTTGCTTTTATCCGAATTGCATTATTTTTGGATTTTTTTTATATTTGACACAGACTCAATAAAATAAAATAATAATAAAAATAATAATAAAACTAAGTAATAAATAATAATACTAATATAAGTAATAATAATAAAATGGAGATAATAATAATACAAATAAAATTAACAAAATATGGTGAGAAAAAATAATAATGATAATAGAGAAAATAAAAAAATGGGACAAAAGTCAAAAAGGCCCCTTTGACTTTTAGTCAATTGGATTGACTTTTTGACTTAGACTAATACAAGTAGACCAAAGATTCCGATGAAATAACTCTGATGATATTCAATGTATCATATGAAAATAAAATGCCTCAGACACATTAATCAGGTGGAAATGAATGACTTAGACAAAACAGTACGCCTCAGACAAAGTCATATGTCTCATATGCAACCATAATGACCTAGTCAAATGCCTAAAGGCTCAGACAAAGTCAATTGCCTTAGACATAAACAAATGGCTTATAAATTAAGGACTCGTATGAAAATGTATTAAACTTAATGCAAT